TGCTGCAAGTACATGCGAGAAATGAAAGAAGATTTTTCGAAGATTGATTCGCTAGTGTAAGATTTTTTCAGCATCTAGAATTAAGATTTAGATGTGTCGCCATCCCTCGATACGGACCCATATCTAACAAGCACATCAACGATCAAAATATAACGCATTCCCTTTTAAGCTGTTTAGGGGTATTGAGGTAAGTATATATTCGTAGTATGCATTAAAAATGGAACCGAAATTCAAAATTTTATCAATTTTTGTGCATTGGAACTATTTTAAATAAGTGCGATTACATTAGCAAAAATCACAATCCAAGCGCCTCTCGGTGGGACTATGTATGGGAGCGAGCTGTCAACTACAGTCGAAATTCGCTGGTTGGTTAGTTGGGCCAATTGACAGAAGGCTAAAATTTGTTGGGGGGTGTGCGCATCCTTTGTTATGGTAGAGAAGATTTCACAAAAAGTGGATTCAATCACAGCAGATTGAAGCATATTGCTTAAAGCTGATTGAAAAAAGCAAATCTCACGCAACACGAGAAAAAAGCCTATTATTGTTGATCGATTCTCTTCATCATATTTCTCTTTCGCGAATAACCTGACTGCAAATGAATTTCCTTCCCATTCAATGTGTTGTTTCAGGCGCAAGCTAACATCATCTTCTGTCGAACTATGCTGCGAGCTTAACGAGAAATTCGTTAATGTTGCCGTGGTAAACCAAGTAAACCAGAAAGTCGATGAAGAGAATCGATCAACGAGGATAGGCCATTTTCAAATGTTACCCGAGAAATCATATTATGTGCACAATTTTTGATTTTGTTTTCTTCTATAATTTCAAATGAAACTCAAATGTTTCGAACAAATACCAAATGTTAACATTCATTAATACATATGGTCACCCCTTGGAAAAATTTATGATTGATTGTCAAATCCAATTTGACATGAGATTTTGACATTCAGTTGCTTTTTAATTGGGTTATGGCCCAACTAAAAAGCAACCTAAGTATTAAAAGCCCAACCAGCATTTTGACTGCAGTAGATTTAGTGTCAAAAATAAAAAAAATAAATCTTGATTTAATTGGATGTGGTACTCAGAAAACGAAGCTCTTTCAGATGATGCCTAAAAACGGGTATGTTTCTCGAAATTAAACAACCTAATTTATTTTTTTTTGCAAGATAGGGGAATTTACGTATTCTCGTCAATCTAAGCAGCGTCCGTACTTCTATTAGCGATTTCTCAGCGTCACACACACACAGGACAGGTTTGTTTGTTGACATTTATCTGCTGCTTGTTGTTCTACCAATTCCAATCGACAGAATTGATCAAAACGGGTTGAACATGTTTTTACAACGCTGCAAACTTCTCAGGTGAGTGTGACTATTGTCGGCAGTCTCTTTTTCTTCGGCACCCTTTCCATTTAAACTGCGTGTTAACCAGCTGTTCTATTATCGGCAACTCGAAATCAGCCGTATTTTGTAGTGTGTATATTTCATTTAAAGAAAAATATGGCAGAACAGGATTGCACAGTCGTAAAAATGTAATCAGATTGAAGCTGAAAAGGTAAGGAATCGGCTTAATACATTCAGCGAAGAGTTTTGAAGGGAAAATACAGTGAAATTAACGTTTCAATTTCGGTTGCCGAAAACAGTCAATGGGTGCCGAAGCCATAATTTACCCTATCTGAAACAAAAATCTTTCACTCTTCCATTCGTCGCACACCTCATCACAGAAGAATCGAATCTGTTTTAAATCAGGTGTGCCACAGACAAGCAGACATAACAAATTGAATATTTTTCACTGCAAAACATCGTCGCTAAAACACTACCGCCATCTGCTGTGTACACTGTGACGAGCAGTACGCTCAACAGATGGCGGTAATGTGGTACCGTGAAACACAAGGAAATTGACTAATCGTGCCACAGGCGGTGGTACCAACCGGTGGAAACTAACGATTTTAAATTGGCTCACTACTTGACTAGCCTATTAGTCCCAAGTACATCTATAAACGTATCCCATTCTCATCGAATTTCTAGTTCTACACTATGTTTGTTTTGTTTCGCTATGAAAGATTGACAGATAAAATGAGGGGTTCGTGGATGTTCCTGTTTCGAGGGGTGCATCGATAAGCTTGAGACCGAAGATAGTACCAGAGTTGAGCCAAGAAGTTGAGCACGTTTCTTCGGGACCATCTGGCCTTAGAGTTACCTATATATATACTCTATAAAGAGAGAGAAACGCGAAGCCACATAAAATAAATGATAACATGACGATATTGTTTTACACGAACTAGCAAACGTTGTTCACTAACAATACACCAAGCCGTTGTTCTCCTTACAATATACCAAGCCATAGGGCTAATCCTATCCAAGATGGTTTTATTTTATTGAAATATGTATTGTCGTATTATTTTCGGGTGATAGCTATATTGCAATCTAATTAGAATTGTTTTCTACTCACTGATCGGTCTTCTGCTCGATTGGCTGCACTTCTGTGACAGTTGAAAGCGAAATTGATGAACAACATGCGAGAATTATGTCTGTTTGCCTGTGAGTGTGCTGTGAACAAAGCCCTAACTACTCAGAATTATATTTTCACTCAAATTAATAAAGCTCAGCCGAGAGTAAAGCAGACAGTCAAAAATTTTCAGCGGTAAAATTGTTCTATGCATCCATAATTTGCAACAAAACAAAATTATTGCTGAGAACGATAAAGATTAAAAAATCTCCAATAGCATTTGTTAAGCAATTTTCTACTGAAATTTGTATCTTACTCTCCCATATAAGTATTTCAAAGGAAAATAAATCAAGTTTTTCGACATATATCAACTTAGTTTCTGTGACCTCGATGCTTGCGATGCGATAATTGGGAATGCTTACTTTTTTTTTTTAGAACATTGAAACCTGGCGCTTCCAAACAAATATTTAAACAGTTGCTTCTAACAACCTTATCGGTCATTCACTAGGGGTGAGCAACTAATGAAATTTCCTGAACAAATCTGTAACTATAGAACTGAGGAGAATGGTGACTAGAAATTGTTTTGATTAATGGTTTATGGTTTTGTTGAGAAATCGTTGCATGACAAGCTCCTTTTACAAAGCATAATGCATATCTCCAAAACAATTCAATGTCACAAAAAAAAACTCATTTTCGTCCCCTGGAACCACATAGAGCAAATTGTACACCGAACAGCACCATGTAATAATTAGTAATCCGCCGAAAGCATTCCAGCCTTTCCGATCACTATCTCCCTGTACAAACCGAATGTCCAATCATGGATCCACACTAAATTGTAACAGCGGCAGCGGCAGCAACAACCTTGATACACTTTGTTGGAACCGGCACATGATCTTCTCCAAACAATACATCATTATTGTCACACTGTCGTCACCGACGCTATTCACCGCTTGTTTATCCAGGAAAAACACCACAATACTGTCATTAAACTCATTTACAGACCTTTTTCACAAACTACATCGGGCTTCCTCCTTATCCGCTTTCAACCTTGTTTCCAACAACAACAGAACAAAAAAAAAATGAGAGCTATTCGGCACGGAAGGATGAAAATTCCTCCGAAAAACCTTCGACTGCTCCTTCTCACCAATGTATGTATACCACCTCTATATCCAAGCAGGCGCCCAGGGTGTGGTATGGGTTGTTGGTTGTCAAAGTAACCAGCAGGCACTTTTCGGAACGTCGACCTTGGTTTGGTTTTCACAAGAGAGTTAGTAGGTACTTACACCCCATCAGTGCTCGATGCATGCATCAAGGATCTTTTCCTCTCCTGGAGAAGTAGGGGAGGGGGCAATGACAATGGGTGAATGTTTTCTTGGGTGAGAAAATCAAAACACTACTTTCATCCAACCCACCCACCGTTCGCGCTTTTCATTGTATGATCTGACAGGTTGTTTGGTGCCATTCCATCCAGCCAGCAGTCCTTGCTACGACCGACGAATATGAGGGAAGATGATTAGGGAAAGTGCTCGCAAGGACTCGTACAATACGGAGTTGGTGTATAGTTTTCCACTGGGTTTCGAAAAAAAAAAAAGAAAAATAGGGGAGAGCACTGCCCAAATAGGTATATGTCCCGAGAGAGAAAGAGAATGTTGGGTGGGATGGGTAAATAACCTTGAAATAATCCAGGAATTAAGGTGTTGGCAGCAGCTCCGTTCCGTTTGCGGCTGTAACCTGGGAGCTAGAACAAGTGCACAAGTAAGAAACTGAATAGGAGAAGGCATGCCTTTGCTGTGTTGTTTCTCGAATGCCGAGGAAGAGGAGAAGAGCTTGCTTTCATGCGATCATCGATATAATGGGTATGATTCATCCAAATAACAACCAGTTTATGTGGTTTTGAGGTAGTAGATGACGACGACGGGCACGCGAGATACTGTAATTTTTCTTCCTTTATAGCCTACTGCGTGTGCAGGAGCAACCAGCGACACTGATGTCTCTGGGGTATTTTGGTGGATTTGATATGGGCCAAACTCACACTCGCAGGATGCGAAATTGAGATAAATGTTGCCCACCGACCGAACGATACGTAATCACATATACACGACAGAGCACGGTCACGCGTGTGGCTGCCAGGCGCTCGTGATAGTGCCATATTTATCATAGCTGTTAGATCGAAACGATACAATTAGTTTGCTAACAAAATGTTTCTCTCTGGATCCAGTGACCGAGTGCTATGCTGCTATTACGTAGTTACGGCCCAGTAGTAGGCCTGGCACCCAGCGACTTTTTGCGAAGGAAAACAACCATACATACAGTGTTTGTTGACGAGGGGAGAGACAACGGCGCGGTGACACGCACGCTGGATTTTGACATTTAGCTGCGAGACGGTTCTCATGACTATTTTTTACGTAGTTTACCGCCACCAAATCACACTGTCAACACAGTCAACACAGTTTGTTCAAATTTTCCATTGCAAGGTTTCATCCCGACGAAAACACACAGCCCGCTTGTGCTAAAAGAGCGAGCGAGTGTCAAGCAATTTCTTCCTATATTGGCTATACCTCTTAGCTGCTTTTCTCCTATCGTACTCTCGACGATGTTGGTTTGACTTTTCACGCAGAGAGCTGCTTCCGAAGCACACACCAGGAACCAGATAGTGGTTCCTGAGGAAAAAAAAACGCTAGCTCCCTTCAAAACATTCACAGCAACACAAGCCACTCTATCACTTCACTACACGAAAAACGTCACGTCACACAGGGCCAAGTACACCGGAAAATGGCCAACCGAGATTTGAAGAACGTTGGCGAAGGAAAAAAAAAACTTTTCGACCGAAAAAGTTTACAAAAATTACATACCTCTTACGTATACTGCTCCGTCACTACGAACGGAGCGATCTACAAAAAATTACTTCTATATCGTAATGATGTAGGTAAGTACACACGTCAACAATTTCCACCACTACGCAGAGACCGAGCATATCTGTACGCAAACACTAACACACCTTCGAAAGTCCGTAGCTGCGCTCTCACTTTACCAACGGATCAATTCACCTATTGGTGCGAACGAAACGGACAAACTCACCATAGTCGACGTCTTCCCGGATTGTATTTGTGCACAACCGAGGGGCCTACGTAGCCGAAATTCCCAAATAGATATGTCTTTCCTGCTTCGACTACTAGCGCCACCAGACGATCGCAGCAGACCGCGTGTTTGTTGCTTCCTTGTTTCGCTAACGAAGCGGACGGGGCTGGCGGTCCTTATCTGGCGTACAATAGCAGCAGGTCTCTGCGGTGATGTTGCTGTTGTTATTGTTGTTGTTTTTGTTGATGATGATGATGGGAATCAGCAAGCACAAATTCGTCATATTCGTCGTGAGCACTCAAACGAAACTAGCGAGCGGTTGTTTTTGACAGTACAGGCGAACGTCATCGCAGCTTGATATTAAGGCGACCGCGAAGAAGAGAGTGAGAAAAGGAGAGAACGAACACAATAAACGCTCTCGGATGATACGAAGAGCAAATATACACATACAAACTGTTTCGGAAACGGGAATGAAAAGTGCGAGAATAACACAAAAACGAGGGCATGCTACTAAGAAGCCTTTGAGACCATTCCAACCAGCAAAAATCATGGTTGGGAAATTGTTATCATGCACATGAGCAGCATTATTTTTAATTCGATCGAAAAGTGACAGTTTCTTGAAAAAGTCCACAACCATCGCGCGACCCCTCGGATGGCGTAGCATGTAGCGGTATGTTGCTTACGTAGATCTATGCTTACAACCCAACAGCGCTTCCATACGATCCGAGATGGAATATCGTAGCATTGGAGAAGGAATCAAGTTCCATTCGATGATATACATAAACCAACATATATGTGACACATGCCAGTGTGTACGTGCGCCAATGTAGGCACTTCGAGAGTGGCATACGTAATCAGAGGTGACGTCATCACCGTACGATTCGCTGCCAAGACTCCAAGCGGGGCCAACCTCATTACCATAAAATGAAAATTTGTTTGTCGAGAGTTGGAAAATGTCTATCCGCCAAACATTCCCCACCCTTCAGGGGGTACAACATTACGCTCGGTGGCAGTCAGCCATGCAAACCACCCTACCACCCTTTGGCAACGGCGACATCCCACAGTGGGCCGTTGTCGTCGTCGTCGCCTTCGCCGTCGCTCATCTGATGACGAGCCGAGCGAGCGTTAATGATATACACAGCAGTCGCAGTAGGCAGCGGAGCGGCAGGAAGAATCTCTCACCTAGCTCTAAAGGGCATCAATTGACATTGAAAAGTGTGTATTTTTAAGACGCCGAATGAGCATTACGTCATCAAAAAAGCAGCGCGCGCGTTAGGTGATTGTGCAAAATGCTACATCTTGAAAGATCCCTCATTTTCAACAACTGCTGTGTAAATTTAGCCGAAGACTGAATCCTTGTAAATGCTTACGATTCTGTTAAAACTCCAAGTAATAAAAAAGGAAATTGTAAACAATCAAAATGTTTACAAAATATCGACCACTCTACAGTAGGCTGATTACACACTAAACCGATCGAAACCGTATCAATGCAATAAAAAAAAATCCATTGGAAGTGGAACAGTGAAATCTTTGTTTAGTCATATTGTCCATTAAATAGTGCTTTGAACAAATCACACCTTCCTGATAGACTCACTGTTTGCAAAAAAAAAGATTTTTACTCACTCTCTAGAAGTTACCGAACAAACGACGAATGAAGACAACGACGACGACGACGACGACGGATATCGAACGTAGCATGGTCAAACGTTGAGCTCACTCACCCATACTCTCTATCTACGTACTAACTACACTGATGCTTCTGAGACTTGCTGCCGTAGGGAAGACAGACAGGGAAAGGCACATTAGCAATAATAACAAATTCCTACAAGCGCGAGAGTGAAATGCCGTAGAGGCGGTTTCTCTCCGGGTTTCCAATTTACATGTATTCTACATACATATTCTGCCATCCGTCGTCGTTGAACGGATGACGTAATGTTTATGTTATTTTTGAACTTTTCGCTTAAGTTACTAGCCAGTTTTCCATCAATTCGGGAAAAATAATTTACAAAATTGTTCGCCAACACGAAACTAATCGATATTTTTCCAAGAAAATATATTGATTAAACAATTCCCAACTCTTCGTCAACTGAGCGAGTTTAATCAGCTGAAAATTTACACAGCCCCGAAAACATGTTGCGCTCTAGAAAACCGAATTAACAGCCATCACGGAGCGGAGCTCTGATGTCATACAAGAACTTATTGCGTTTCAATTCCGTACCTATACACTGGCATATGGTTCACCAATACCAATGGCAGCAATAATCAGACATGGTTTCCGGGTACGTGTAAGCGTTCACGGTACAGTACGGTAAACTGCACAGATACTAACGCAGTAGCCTGGCCATTTTAGAGTGTAAAAGATCAGTGTCCTACCCCTCGGAATGAGGTAACCCTTTTGGGACTGGTAGTCGGACTGTTACCTCTATGCTGGGATCGAAGTAGGCCGTGCTTGAAGACTGCATGTGAATTTTTGCTGCATGTTTTTTATCCGCTGATTTATCAATTTTCAATTTAATGTAATGCTTGTAAAATTTCGTGAAGCTTATAAATCAATGTTGAAAAGTGCATAATAGATACGCGTGTGAATTGTGTGCAAGATGAGAGGGATTCAACGCTCTTGCAGCAGGCTTATGGGGCACGAAGCGGAGGGTGTGCAACCACTGGGGATCATCGAGAACCTGGAGTATGGGGATTTGAAAGGTTTCTCCATGTAACATGCCGGAAGATAAGTATAGTTCTGTTTATAGTTATGAGTGCGTACGTGCGTTTGTGAGTAGTATTTTCTAGTGAAAGAAATGATCTCCATCACATCACTAAACATAACCACGAGCAATGACGAGGAACTGCATCGCAAACCCCATGATAAAAAAAGGAGCGGATGCATCCAATGAAACTTTTAAGCGCAAAAAAATCATTACCAACATAGGAGAAAATTCGGTAATTTTGCATTATTTTATGATTCTACACGTAGTAGCTCGGAGCGTTTGGTACGGTATGTCCACGCATCCTTCCACCCCTGTTGATTCAAGAAATGTTCCCATTCATTTCCAAGAATCATCTTTGCGGCAAATACAACGCAGTAGGCCTGGCCGTATTGATGTTTATATCATATCTCAGATATGCTGTAAACATCAATTAGACAAGAAAAATGATTAGACCTAATCTAACCTAATCATTTTCCAGGATGCTTTCTCGTACTGGCTGCGTTTGTATTAGATTAGATTAGATTAGATTAGAGTTGCCTCAATGCTGAGACCGTGTTGTATACCATTCGTGTGTGCTTAGCTTCTTCTAATTTTCCAAAAAAATATTTAAAAAAATTGACTTAAAGTCGATTGACCGTAGTACCATGGACCCAAAGGTCAGAACCAATAGCGTGGAAGGAATTTATCGAAAAAGCATGGTTCTCGGTAATAGAATGGAAGTGCACGCAGTAGTAGGTTTTTTATATTTGTGGGTAGTTATATTTTTGAGTGCATGGGGGAATGCTGTCAACAATGCTGTCGGTTTGTTTACTAACAATAGCTGACGTTTTGTTTTGACCTAACTTTTTTCCTAACCTGAACTTCAGAACTAGGATCATTGTTGATGTTGATCAAAATGGAATCAGTTTTATCACTTAATTGTTGGGGGTCCAACTAGAAATCATGCAAGGCGGACCCAGGTACGATCCTTGTGTAGCGAGGACCGAATGGACCAGATCCCGCCAGTCAGATGATTGTCCGCGGGAAGATTGTTCAAAGGAGGATTGTCCGCATGAGGATTGTTTGAAGGAGAATTGTCTGCTACCGACGAGTCAAGGAGTACGTGGAGGAAGAAGATTATCCGGAACTCTGAAGCTCTTTATATGTCCCAGGGGGAACGATACATTCGGATGCATCCTGTATCCCCATCACATTTATCCATAAAATTCTGCTTATATATCCAGAACATCAGTCAGAACTTTTTTTCTCCAGACATCCTTATTCGATTTTTTGTCTATTTTTCAGTATACCTTAATATCCCTGTTGATCCTTCTGTCTATTCCGAAAATTCTTTCAATTCCGCTCGCATGGCGTCACAGTGTTACCATATCTTTTTTGAAGCAACATGCATCAGGATGAGTGTCGTTCCCCAACGTTTTCCTTGAACGTCATTGATTGTCTCTGAAGATCTTTCCTGGAACTATCTTCCTGCGGACAATCGTCCAGTGGACAATCTTCCTCTGATCAATCTTCCTGCGGACGAGTGTTGGAAAAGTTCGCGATATTTCACGAAGTTCACCAAGGGAAAAGTTCGCGAGTCAACTTTGATGAACTTTTCCATCACTGCTGCGGACAATTCTCTTCCTCCAAATAATCTTCGTGCGGACAATCCTCTTTCGAACAATCCTTCTGCGGACAACCCTCTTTCGAACAATCTTCCTGTGGACAATTCTCCTACGGACAATCCTCTTCCGAACTATCTTCCTGCGGACAATCGTCTTGTGGACAATCTTCTTCTGAACAATCTTCCTGCGGACAATCCTCCTTCGAACAATCCTCCTGCGGACAATCCTCCTCCAAACAATCTTCCTGTCGACAATCTTCCTGTGGACAATTCTCCTGCGGACAATCCTTCTTCGAACAATCCTCTTTCGAACAATCCTCCCGCGGACAATCCTGTTCCTCCGGATAATCTTTCTCCTCGACTCGTCGGTAGCGGACAATATTCCTGTTGACAATCCTGCTGATAATTCAATCTTCTTCTGAACAATCTTCCTGCGGACAATTCTTATTCGTACAATCTTCTCCCGAACAATCTTCTTGCGGACAATCCTCCTCCGAACAATCCTTCGAACAACCTTCTCCCGAGCAAACTTCCTGTGGACAATCCTCCTTTGAACAATCTTCCTGCGGACAATCCTTATTCGAACAATCTTCCTGGGTACAATCGTTCTTCGAACAATTCTCCTGCGGACAATCCTCCTGGGGACAATCCAAATATATGATGTTCAAGGGCCCTGGAGCTAATG